GCCTACATGGCAAGGACAAGGTCCTGAGTTTGATTCCTGATACCAAAAAAAGGTCATGTGTTCAGAGGTGAGGCTTCTAGGAAGGTGACTGGGTCACAAGGGCTCTGTCATCATCAGTGGAGTAATGCATTGATGAGCTCACCACTTGATGACATTAGGAAATGATGAAAACTATGAAGTTGTGGCCTACTTGAAGGGGGTATGTCATGGGGTGTGAGTTGGAGGTGGACATCTTCTCCCTCCCCTCTTCTTCTTGGGTTCCTTATCTCAGCTTCCTGGCAGCCATGAGGGCAGTAGCTTGCCTCCACCACATTCTTCTGCCATGATGTTTCTATCTGGGAGCCATCAAAAATGGACTGAAACACTTGAAGCCATGAGCCAAAATGAGCCTTCACTCCTTTATGTTATTTTTCCCAGGTATTTTGTCACAAGTGGTGTGAAGGTGATTGCCCCAAGTAGTGCACTAGACACTGTCCATGTGTTCACATGTCACTAAGGCCACTGTCACAGATGAGGAACTGAGATCCAGAGATGTTCTGTAATTTTACAAAGGTCACACAGCTAATAAACCAGGACTCACTCTCAAGACTGGCTCTATTCTATGCCTAGGAATTCCAGAAGCAGTTTTTCTTTTTTCTTTTCCCAGTACTTCAGACTCCACTGTGCCTCACCTACGTTCCTCACGCACTGAGCCCCATTGCCCATCTCTGAGCCACTGTGCTGGATCTGAGCAGCTTCCCTCCTGTTTTGCCTTTTCTGCTCTCCATCTATTTCTCTATGCCATAGCACTCATCTCTGAAGGCTGGATAGTCTGCCCACCTCCACCTTAGCCCCCCTATTTGCCTTGGCAGACCCCAGGCAGAGATCATACCCAGCAGCTGCATGTCTGGGTGCCAGGTAACCAGGCCCACCAGTGCAGGGCTTTGAAGGAGAATGGAAAGTGTTCCTCGGTGACTGCCTCCAACCACACTGCAGCAGGGATGCACGGCTCTTCTTCAGATATCTCTGGAAATTTAAAACTTCCTTCACATTCTAATGGCGAGTAAGTCTCTTTAAGATTTCCAGGCCCAGACTAGGCGTGGTGGCGCAGGCTGGTAATCCCAGTGCTTGGGAAGCTGAAAACAGGAGGATCACTACAAGTCTCACTATGTAGTGAGACCCTGAAGACCCTGTCCTAAATACATTTAAAAAAAAAAAAAAAAAAGATTTCCAGGCCCCTGCCTGCATCTGTATTTCATCATTGAAAGCTAAAAACATTGATCCTCAAGTTCACCCCAGAGTCTGTCCCTCTCCCACTGTCCTGTGCAGTGGGTTCTTCACAGGTTCCCAGGCAATGGGGCAGAAGAGGGGCTGGGGCAGGCAAGCTCCCCCAAAACAGTCTTGGCATAGGCCAGGATGGGTGACCCGGTGGACTTTGGAGGGTGGAGTCCCCACCTCAGGTTCACAAAGGGCCTTAAATTGACTTCTGATGTTATCGCCATATAAAGCTAAACAATGTCTGTTTTATAAGTTTTAAGTGTTAATTGCAAAATGTAAATATTGAATATATGCTGCAACTCTTTGACTCCATTTAGTATCCTGCTTTTTTTTTTTTAATTTTACTTATTTGTGTGTGTGTGTGTGGCCAGCTGATTGAACCGCAGTCCCTGTGATTTGCTAAGCTTATTCTAAGTAGGTGCTTTAGACCACTGAGCTAGGGGGCCTGGCCCTAGTTCAGTTCTTTAAGTGGCTGCTTCCACAAAGCTGTCAGCCTCAGCTTGCTGCAGTTCAATCCCCACAACACTCTAGCCTGTCAAAAGGGCCCTGAAGGCATTCGAGGAGCAAAAAAAAAAAAAAAAATCCTAGACCACTGAGCCATCTCACCAGCCCTTATCCTGCTTTTCTAGATACAAAGAACCTCAAAAATGGAAAGTTTAGGGGAGCCAAATAGCTCAGTGGATTAAAGCGCCTGCGCGGGGGAGGCAGGGGGGTTTCCTGCGGCCCCGCCCCCGGGGCGTGTTGAGACGGCAATAGAGACAGGGCCTGGCCCAGCTCTTGGGAGGTTGTAAATAGGCGGATCACTGTGAGGACGATCTAGTGACCCTTCCTAAAAATACAAAAAAAAGGAAAGTTTCGCTCAAGACTCTTAACGTCTGTGCCCCAAAAGAAGAGGGAAGAGGGCGGCTGGAAAGAGTGTGCAGGAGAGTTGTGGAAGGCTCCTAGCCCAGCCCTGTGCTGAACGCCACAGGAGTTCTGCCCTTTTGTGGAGTGGCCCTGCAATTCTTGCAGCAGCAAGAGCTAGCCAGGCTGAAGACAGGGACAGGCCCAGACTGGCACAGGAGGCTAAAAGGCCGTCCAACCGGCTCGCCAGTAGATCTGGGTCCAGACACTCAGCCTTCCTGTTCTCTGCCAAGGCCAGAATCCATACCCAGCGCCAGACTTCCGGCCTGTGCCCCTCAAGAATGTCCGGGTACCCCTGACACCCCTGCAGATGTAGCACGAGGGAGCTCCGCTGAGGACCCCAGCAAGGCAAAGGAGCGCCCTCGCTCCCGGGCGGGGCGAAAGATAGATGTGGGGCTAATGAAAGAGAGGCAGAGAGAGGCACAGGGCCCCGGGGGGGGGGGGGGGGGGTGAGCGGGGGCGTGGCAGGGAGAGGACGCTCCCAGGAGAGAGCCGATCAGACCCTCGGGAGGTCTGCCGTGAGGTCCGGAGGAAGCAGGCGCTGCGGAAGACAAAGACGGGGCGAGAGGGCGAGACTAGCAGCTTGGCCTGAGGGTCCCCGGCTGAAACTCTACACCGCCTTTGGAAGGATCGTCCCCTTTTCTCCTCCACCCCCTCCCTTCCTCTCCCTTTTCTCCTCCCTCCTTTCTCTTAATCCCCAGAATTGAGTCCCGCGCCCGCGCCCGGGAGGACGGGGCTCGAAGGGAGGAGAAAGGACCACACTCAGAGGGCGCCAGGAGCAGGGGAAAAGGGGAGGAACGGGGAGCTGTGCGGGAGGGGTGAGCCTGGGGGCTTCTCGCGACCGCCCCCCTCCCCGAGCCTCCCAGCCTTCTCAGTGTCCCCCCGAAGGCCAAGTCCGGCGAGCCCACAGGCCCCCTAGCCCCAGCTCCTCCTGCGCCTTCGCGTTGCTCCCTCAGTAGCTTTGTGGTCTTTCTCTTCATTCCCAAAGACCTGCGAGCTGCCCGACCTCTGGGGCGCGCCGCGGGAGGGGCCCCGCCGAGGGTGCGTGTGTGTGTGTGTGTGTGTGTGCGCGCGCGCGGGCGGGGGGCGGGGGCGGG